TCAGTGTGACAGAATTTTTGTTTTATTTAATTTAAATGTTTCATGTTTAATAAAGCAATACATATACATGGAGGTGCTTCTGATGAAAACCAAGTCTCCCCATCCGTCAATCCCATGCCCAGAAACAATCTCTGTTTATTCTTTTGGTAGCTATTCTACATCTCTAAATTAGTGTATATCAGAGTGTGGTACATAAAACTACCAGTGATACGTAGATAAACATTATTTTTTAACTTACTTGTATAAGTGTTTTGATGTATAATAGAAAAAAATAGGCCGGGCGCGGTGGCTCACGCCTGTAATCCCAACGCTTTGGGAGGCCGAGGCGGGCGGATCACGAGGTCAGGAGATTGTGACCATCCTGGCCAACATGGTGAAACCCCGTCTCTATAAAAAAAAAAGAAAAGAAAAGAATAGCTGGCACAGTGGCTCACGCCTGTAATCCTAGCACTTTGTGAGGCTGAGGTGGGTGGATCACCTGAGGTCAGGAGTTCAAGACCAGCCTGGCCATCATGGTGAAACCCCATCTTTAAAAAAAGAAAAGAAAAAAAAATATATATATATATATTTATAGGCCAGGCGCAGTGGCTTACGCCTGTAATCCTAACACTTTGGGAGGCCAAGGCGAGCGGATCACAAGGTCAGGAATTTGAGACCGGCCTGGCCAACATGGTGAAACCCTGTCTCTACTAAAAATACAAAAAATATCTGGGCGTGATGGCGGGTGCCTGTAATCCCAGCTACTCAGGAGGCTGAGACAGGAGAATCGTTTGAACCTTGGAGGTGGAGGTTGCAGTGAGCCGAGATCATGCCACTGCACTCCAGACTGGGTGTACAGGGCGTGACTTTGTCTTAAAATACATATATAATGTGTTTACCTACCAGAGTGGGGGCAAAAGTGAGTAAAATTAAAGAAAAATATTAAATCACCAAGTTTGGTGGCTCATGCCTCTGTAATCCCAGCTACTCAGGAGGCTAAGACAAGAGGATCACTTGAGACTTGGAGTTAGAGACCAGCCTGAGGAACACAGCAAGACCCTGTCTCTTATTTTTTTTTTAAGTGTAAATGAAAAAAGAAAAATATTAAATGAAAAAGAAAATAATAAATGCTAATACAGATACATGGATATCATGAATATGGTATCTAACTGAATCTTAAGAGACATTGCTTTAGACGGTATTCTTACACCTTATCAAATATAGACAGTATCTTGATTCTGTGAAGGAGTGACACTT